GAAATAGAATGAATTAGGTCAGGATTGGTCAGGCTTTATCACCACTTTTTAGTGAAATTAATATAATGGGCTACGATCAACGTTTACAACGAGACTAAAAATATTAGAGTGCAGCACAGAGTATGTATGATATCATAAACGGTACAATCGATGTAAAATATATTTCTAACTACGGTCGGGATCAGAAGGTTTGAAAGTCATTGTATTAGGTAAATTATCCTCAGCAATTTCTATTCATTGTGACTCACATGATTTCCTTCCTCTGCTAAAACACAGTTATGACGTGTCCACAATATTTTAGGAACTAAACCATACCCCGCTTTCAATTTTCCATGCTAATGAACAGATGCAGTAGTAAATTCCAAATGTTTTGGGGCATATCCTGCCAAAATTCTCACTTATTATAGGTGTGTGCCACATTCCGAATTTCACAAAATTATAGATGCTTTGGAGAAAGTCTGACTCGGGAAAGGCTGAAGTTGCCCAGTTGTCCCATTCTTTCTCTGCTCAGAATTCCTTCCCCTTAGTTAGTTGCTTGGGGGCAATGATCCTAATAAAAGACATATCTGAGGCTTATTATGCTAATCTGAGACTGTTGTGTGTATGTAATCATTTTAAACTTTATCTGAAACGGAGAAAGGATTAAAAAGCTTTTTTAAAAAGTCTATTCTTAAGAGACACCTTGCAAGAGTTAAAAAAAAGTACTAATGAGGAAAAAAATAGGATTCATGTCTTAATGAAGACCTCTATTACTAGTAAGAAATTAGAAGCGAAAATTATAGAATGAAAGCAAATTCCAGGGGAGACCACTTACGACTAGACAAAAATGTCCCCACTGAATTTGTAATCTAGATTACTAATCTTCAAACTGTTTTAATGGTGACCACTAAAGCATGTTCACATGTGTATCCCAAAATGTATATAATTATTTACTTATAAGTAAGTGCAGATACTACTGTGTCAATACATCATTCATAATTATAAAACATAACCTGGAAATTATTTAAAAATAGAGATTTAAAACTAACCAAAAATAGAAATTTTAATATTTTACTCCCACACCCCAAAGTCTCCTTGCACACCACTGTGGAGGTCACTGATCTAAAATTTAAAACTAGGCATTGTACTTCTCTGGTTAAAGTGTGGCAGAATAAAATATTTGCAAGTACCATTTTCTCAGGTAACATCTGCTCTCCATCACTGCTGACATTTAGAGTGTGTACGCTCTAAGTGAAATCTCAGAAGTGAGATGCAAGTGTTCATAATGTGGGGTCTGAGGCCACAGAGAAATTTCTGGATAAGATTCAAGTTCCCCTAAGTCGCATCTGTTCTTAAGGAGGCTTCTTCATCATGTTTCCAAAGAGATCTGTAGTATACAAAGTACTCCTCTGATGCATTTCCTTCCATGATCAAGAGGATATGTTTGAACAACAATTAGCTGGAGCCAGAATCCAGCCTGTGAATTTCATGTCCTTGGCCCGAGCAGAGCACACAGACATGAACAGTTGGTTGACAGAACTAACCAGCATCACAAGACTGTGTTTTAGTAACTGCCCTATCATTAGCTCTGGTGCCTTAAATGAGGAGCTAGTTAGCGTCATCGGGATTCAGGGTTTGTTTTTTTATTCTTAAAAGTAAGAGGGGTAAGTGATCTCTAAGAGTCATGGTGTTTGTCTAACCTAATACTCTATAATTCAAAGTGCATTATGAAATATGTTTGAATATTATTATTAGGACTTCGATGCATCTCCCTTTATTTCCTAAGGCCATCCTTGAAATTTTCTCTCCCTCTGGCATACAACTGGAGTTTCTGAAGTTGGAAAGCTGACCTAGCAGGGTGTGTCCTAGATGTGGATGTTGGGGAACTGGCAGGGAGGACCTGCTAATGAATGATATTTCCACAGTCAGCTGCATCCAGGCCATGCCCAACTACTAATTTGAAACTTTAAATAACCACAAGACATTTGTCTCTTTTTCCCCTACAACTTCTGCATAGTGATACTAGATATTAAGATGTTCCAACTTTGCAGACAATGCTTTACTTCAGTACATGCAACTCTGTTTAATATGTAACTTCGAAGTTTCACTGTGTGAAAAAACTAAGTGGCCAACACATGCTCTACCGCTGGGGTTTGCCATCCACAAAATCAGTCCCTTAAAGTTTCAAGAAACAAGCTTATTCATTGAGTCCTGTAACATATTTCCTTTAAACATAGCAGTATTGTTATAGCTACAAAAACTGTCAACATGGACAGAAAGGACTTTACACTCCAGAATCTAGAAAGAGCAGGGATTTTGAAGTGAAAGGTTATTTAATTTGAGAACAGAAATGTGTAAAGAGTAAAACTCAAAAAAGCCTGCATCTTCCAAAATGTGCATCCTGAGTACCAAGACTCTTGTCATGAACAGACAGAGTTACCATAACTACAACAGGCAGGCAAGTGGCAATTTTACAATACCTGCTTCACTTCCACTGTTGTCTTAATTTTTTTTTCTAGTATGAAACCACAGAGAAATAAAATCAGTTTAAATTTTTCTTGCCGTGGAGAAAGGACTAGAACTTTTCCTTTAAAGAAAAACAAACAAAAAAAACTATCAAAAAAACCTATTCCCTGACTATAGGTTGCCTGATTGAGGAAAAGAGGAAGAAACAAAGGCCCAATTACTAGTAAGAAATTAAAGTCAAAGTTACAGAACCTCCAATAGATTTCAGTGGAGACTTCTGAACACTGGGGCATATATTCTCACCGAATTTGTAATCCACTTTGGTGGGCTCTACCCTTTTTCATCATGATCACTAAAAGGAATTTTCGCATGCACCTCAGTATATGTAGAATTGTTTTTAAATAAGCAGGTACTACTGTGCTCGTTCATCGCCTATGAGGCATAAACTGGGAATGATAAAGGGAGGGGAGTTACAGATAAACACAAGGATTGTAATGCTTTGCTTCCCAGCCCCAGGGGACTGCTCCTTGAACACCTCTGGAGAGGCCCTGGTGAAATTCAAAACTAGGTAATTCAAGGCGTTAAATTGTGATTTTAAAAAACCCTTTCAGATGCCATTCTTCCCATGACAAAAAAGATCAAGAAACTAAGTAGCCATCTGACTTTCGGAAACCAACTGTCTAACAGCAGGAACGTTTCCAGTCCCTCTCCCCAGCGAGGCGCCTCCGACGCCCTGACATTTGCCTTCAAATTCCTCACCGGACCCCAGCTGGCTCCCGACCTCCCGAGATTTCCCACGTCACCTGGCAGCTCCCGGCGCCACCAAAGTCCTGCTTCAAGAGAAGCTGCAAAAACAGAACAAAACTGCAACAACAACAACAGCAAACCTACTTGTTTTGCTGCAACGAACCAGGAAACGCTGACCCCGGATTATTTCAGGGAAGAAACTCTCCCGGGGCAGGCAGCTTACCTGCTGTCTCTGCAACTTCACTTCTTTGCGAAGTTGCTCAACTTCCATCTTCAGCTTTTCCTTTTCTGGCAGATCTTCGATGTGCAGGGCGGGCATCGTGGCCCCGGACCTGGGCCCTCGGGGCGGCTCTGGAAGCGGAGCGGCTGGAAGTGCTGGCAACCAGGGCGCGTCCCCGAAGCGCCGCGCGGCCCGCGCACCCC